CACTGATTCTCAACCAGAACTTTCCACTCAACAAACTTGCTGAAAGCTTCATCCTTAGTTTTAAGAAAATACACCCACACCTTCCTTGAGTAGTCGTCTACAAAAGAGATATAGTACTGACATCTTGATAGGCTTGGAATAACATTTGGAGACCCCCAAAGATCAGAGTGAACATACTCCAGTCGTTCCTTAGAAGTATGCTTTCCTGTTTTGTAAGACAGCTTGTGAAACTTTCCCAGAACACAATATTCACAATTTGTTAACTCTGAGATTTCTGACTTTATCAACTCCTTCTTAGCCAACAATTGTAAACCCTTTGTACTCATATGTCCCAACCTGCTGTGCCATAACATTGTCTGATCTTCCTTCCTAGTGGCTGAGTTTGCTTGCTCAACAACTGGTTTCCCATCCAAGATATAGAGTGTATCTTTGTACTCTCCTGCTAAAGCTTCTTTCCCATCATAGAACACTTGAAGTCTGAAGTTCTTAGACTGAAACCAGCAGCCTTGTGACTCCAACTGTCCCAAAGAAATCAGGTTTCTTTTAGCTGTTGGAGAGTACCTTACCTTTGTTAATATGACAATGGTGTTGTCATAATTAACAATCTTCACTTTCCCTATAGCGGTGATATCACAGTATGTATCATTTCCCATAAGGATCCTTCCCCCATTTATCTCTTCCAGATCAAACATGAGATCCTTTCTGTAGGTCAAATGATATGAGCATCCTGAGTCAAGTACCCAACCATCTCTTGTTTGTGATTCTGAAGCACTCAACATCATAGGTTCTGAGTAAATGCCCTGACCAACACTTGCTTCTGCATTACTGTATTGGTTCTTCTTTGGACAGTCTTTCTTGAAATGTCCCTCAGCTCTACATATCCAACATGCCTTAGCTTTAACCTTAGTCTTTTCTTTTCCTTTACTAGCTTGCTTCTTAGGATTAGACTTCTTCTCAGCTTTTGGCTTGTGCTGAACATAGAGACCTTCACCACTGGTTTTACCCAAATAGTTCCCCTTTTGTTTCAGTTCTGTTTCAAGAGAGTAGGCAGACTGAGTAATCTCCTTGAGGGTTATAGTCTCCTTTCCTCCTCTATACTTCAGAGTGTGGACTAGCTGAGCAAACTGTGATGGCAAGCTGTTAAGAACAATAACAGCTTGATCTTCATCACTTACTTCCACATCTAGACTTGCTAAATCTGAAATCAACTTGTTGAACACATCCAGATTCTTGTCTAGATTTTTATCCTCTTCCATCTTGAAACTGTAGAATCTTTGCTTGAGATAGAATCTGTTTGGCAGAGACTTGTCTTGATATTGAGCTTCTAAAGCTTCCCACATAGCTTGTGCAGTGCGATGTTTCATTACTTTTCTCAAGACCATGTCAGTCACGCTCATGCCTAGCAGATTTCTGACTCTCCTGTCCTTAGCTAACCACTTAGGATCTGATTCTAGCATTCCTTGATCTTTCTCAGAAACAGTAACCCCATCAATCTTTAGTACTGATTCCAGACCAAGAATTTCCAGCTGAGCTAACACTCTATGCTTCCATATGGAAAAATCACGATCCCCATCAAACTTATCTACTTCAAACTTGCCTTGAGTAGGTTCCATTTTATTCTATCTAAGGCTAGATCTGATCACAACCTAGCAAGAGAGAATGTCCAGAGAACTCCACCTAGAACAAAAACACCACCTCAAACAACTTCAACACTACGATAACACCTCAGATATATAACTAGAACTTTCCAAAACAAAGCAACAAACCCTTTCTGAGACAAAAAAAGATGCAACCTTTGACAATATTCAGAAGAAACACCTAGACTCAGAAACCAGGTAGAATCCTTTTACCTGCTGAGACTAGATCTTCTGATTCCTTTGAGATCTGAAGAGAACCTTCAAGCTGAAAACAACTTGACTTCCTTGAACCTCAGCTCTGATACCATTTGTTGAAGTTTTCAGCTTATCTTAAGTCAGAGAAACTTGCTTGTTAAGAATAGTTAACCTAAGATTCGTTTTTGTGTTTTGTGTTTAACAGAGATGAGAAGAAGAAGAAGAAGAAGAAGACACAGGGATTTACAAGTTCCCAAAGCCAACGTGGCTAAGGTACGTCTTGGTGAGCTAAACCCGTTCACAAGGATTTCATTAAGCGTTTAATACCGAGTACAAGAAACCAGACAAGATCATAAACCAAGAGAGAATCAACACTAGCTAAAGGAGAAGATAAGTTCAACCTCTAAACTATGATGCTCTCTAGACCTTTCTGCTTACTACTCACGCTCCTCTCTCTCTTTGTCATTGCCTCACCTTGTTCCTTTTATACACCTCATGTGTGTTCCCCTTTTACAGCTCACACATTTAACCTAGCGTAACATACGCCGTTACCATTGTTGCAGTGTACCCGTACGTCACAGGTGAAGACAAAGTCTGAGAGCCGACCAAACAGCTTTAAACCGTTGCTGCTTTTAGTCTATTGATGGGCCTATGAATGTGACAAAAGGCCCAACACCTTAACTCTGGCCTGTTAAGATAGGAACTGGATCGAATACTCACAAACGCGAAAGTAGGATGCATATATGATTAGCATTAGCAACAACTAAAAAAAAAAAACTCAAAGAGTCAACTAACCGCATTCATGAATGGAATGTCATCCGTCAATCATTAGATTTGGTGATACGGATATACTATTAATTTACTAATGTAAACATATGTTTACTAATTTTACTAATTGCTACTAAGCACTTGTATGTTTTGAGATATAGAAAATCCAACTAGATCAAAATCAATTTTACACCGAATTCAAATATGTTTACATATTCAAAACTTTACATCGTTGGAACAAACACAGTAACCCTATATATTTGAAATGCATGAATGTTTGCGATTTTTTAAAAGTTGACATGCGTTAGTTTATTCGGAGTTTATAAATTTCATATTTGTTATATATATATCAGAAAACTTGGGACGACCAAATGAATTAAAATGCAATGAACCAGACGATATAGCTCCTGGGAGGTCAAAAACATAACGGACTTTGACTTGTATAATATATAGTTTGCATGTTTGATGTTACGTTAACACAGCATCGCCATCATTAATTCGTCCTTTTGCAGTCTACCGAACTAATTCATTAATCTCATCAAATGATCGATTATATATAAATCCGTCGTTGAAGATGATGATGTGAAATCCAATAATATAAAAATCTTCATTCGACAGATGAGATAGTTCATATATCGTGTGTTTAAAATTATTTGAATGCAATCATAAACTAAGAAGGTTGACACCAAAGCAAAAATAAAAAAAAAAGAAGTTAGAAGAAATGGATCATGCTTATGTTAATATATCTGCACAATCTGAATAATAATGCCAAAAATGTTATTTCTATGAATGTCTAGTTCAAATGTAATTAACAAGAGCATGGGTTCGTTTATATCTGACACTAAGTCCATTTGTTGTGAAATCTTTGATAATATGTGTGTACATAACATTTGAGATAATTCTATATATGAATTAGAATTTTGTCGTACGCAGTTTAGTGTATATACATATATTAAGATATGATGTATCTTATAGAATTAATTAATTCTATTACAGGTATTTGTTTCATATGCTACGCCTTCTTATGTTTAACTAAACATAATTAGTGACAACGACTCATATATATCTTCCCGTTTAGATGATAAGATTAGTCCAAAGACTCCAAACCCTTAAATGTTTGAATATTAGAATGATAGAAATATTAATTAGTCCAAAACTCATGTCGATTTACCTGTCGAAAATTTGCTTTTTTGGATTAAGAAGTATAATGTATATATTGATTCTCGCTAGTTGGTCATTGTAATTAATCACCAATATAATACATATAATTCTCACAAATATATAATAACGGGAATACAACGATTCGACGATTTAATTATATATGTGCATGAATGTTTTTCTAAAAACTGATATGCGTTTATACTTGTTTTTGTTATTATTAGTAGAAAACTTGCGACGACCAAAATAATAATTAGTATGCAACGAATCAGAAAGAATAGCCCCTCTAGGTGAACTAAAACGTAAAGAACTCTTCTGACTTGTATAATATATAGTTTGCATGCATATATGTTTGATGTTAACACTACATCCCCATCATTAATTCGTCCTTGCAGTGTCCCAAAACTACTTAATCAAATCATCTATGATTATAGTTTAATTAAGCCCCTCGAGGATATACATAATGTGTTTCCTTCACGAATCATATTCTGATTTATGTATATCTGTAATAGTGATTATTACTATTTGAATACAATCATACTTTTTAAAAATATATATCAGATATGCTTTTATAGAAAAGAGAAAGAAAAAAAAAGAGAGAACAATATAATGAAATATTGGATCATCTATAATTATCTTCATAAATGCTTATCTGCTGAATTGTGGAAACCCAAACAAATGCTTATCTGCTGAATTGTGGAAACCCAAACATCAAAACATATATGTACACTGAAGACTTTATTCAATATCTATTAAATATCGCTTTGAATATAATTTTTTAATAATTATTACAATATAAAATAAAAATCAGACAAAGAAACTTCAATTGTTTCACAGATCCTTATGTAGCACAACTAATTCGCCGCTGAAATTTGTTGTTTTAGCACAATTAATTGGTTCTTTTGCATCGTTTCACACTAATCATAAAAACCATTTTGTATCACGGTTTTTAAAGGTTTGCAAATCGTTTTAAACTCAAAGTTAATACTCACAAACGTTTACGGTAGTGGACGGTCCCCCATACAACAATAATAGTATTGTCATTGTCTTTAAAAAAAAAATATCCATACATAAAAGAACTTGTTATTTTCCTTCAACCAAATTAATCACATAATATAATATCAAATTAATTATTCACTCGAGACGTTGAATATTGCACTATTTAACAATCATAACGTGTACTAATTGTGCCATCGACCACTATATAAACAACACAAGTCACAACACAATTTTCATCATCACACAACACAAAACATTTCATAAAGATCAAACAAAAATGGCAGCACGAGCCACATTCATAATCTATGCTCTCTTCCTAACCTCACTCCAACTCCTCCTAACACGCCACCTGTCCTCCGCCGCCGGAGGATCATGGAACGTCCTACTCCCCAACGTGGGAATCTCCGCGATGCATATGCAGCTCCTCCACAACGACCGTGTCGTAATGTTCGACCGAACCAACTTCGGACCATCGAACATCTCTCTACCTAACGGTAACTGCCGTAACAACCCCAACGACGCCGTCTCGAAAATCGACTGCACAGCTCACTCGATCGAATACGACGTCGCAATGAACACCGTCCGTCCCTTAACGGTGCAATCAAACACATGGTGCTCATCCGGTTCAGTTAGACCGGACGGTGTTCTCATCCAAACCGGTGGAGACCGAGACGGCGCGTTGAAAGCGAGAACCTTCACTCCTTGTAATGACAACAAATGTGACTGGGTCGAAATTGACAACGGTCTCTCGAAAAGAAGATGGTACTCTTCCAACCAACTTCTTCCCGACGGTAAACAAATCGTCATCGGAGGTCAAGGACAGTTCAACTACGAGTTCTTCCCCAAAACGACATCTCCTAACGTAGTCGATTTGCCGTTTTTGGCGGAGACCAATGATCGAGGACAAGAGAACAATCTTTACCCTTTTGTGTTTATGAACACCGATGGGAATTTATTTATATTCGCTAATAACAGAGCGATGTTACTCGACTATGTTAAGAACAAGGTGGTGAAAACTTTCCCGGCGATTCCCGGTGGTGATCCGAGGAGCTACCCGAGCACTGGCTCAGCCGTGCTATTACCGTTGAAGAATCTTGAAGCGGCTAAAATCGAAGCGGAGGTTCTGGTGTGTGGAGGTGCACCGAAAGGATCGTACCTCCAAGCTTTTAGAAGGAAGACTTTCGTGAAAGCGCTTGACACGTGTGCGAGGATCAAGATCAACGACGCGGATCCTCAGTGGACGGTGGAGACGATGCCGCATGCTAGAGTCATGGGAGATATGACGCTTTTGCCTAACGGAGATGTTTTGATTGTCAACGGTGGAGCTTCTGGTTCAGCTGCATGGGAGCTTGGTCGTGAACCGGTTTTGGCACCGGATCTATACCATCCCGAGAATCCGGTTAACAAGAGGTTTGAGTCCCTAAACCCTACTACAATCCCGAGAATGTATCACTCCGCGGCGGTTCTCGTCCGTGACGGTAGGGTTCTTGTCGGAGGAAGCAATCCTCATGCGTTTTATGAATTCACCGGAGTTCTTTTCCCGACTGAGTTAAGGTTGGAGGCTTTCTCTCCGGCTTATCTTGAACCAAAGTTTGCTACTCTTCGTCCCAAGATTCAGACTCCTAAATCGCAGTCCAGGATTAAATATGGGACGAATCTGAAGTTGAAGTTTACTGTCATCGGAGAGGTTAAGGGTCAGGTGAAAGTTACAATGGTGTCTCCTTCCTTCACGACTCATTCCTTCTCGATGAATCAAAGGCTTTTGGTTTTGGACAATGTTAAGTTTACAAGGAAAGGTAGATCAACTACGTATGAGGTTCAAGTGAGGACTCCAAAGTCGGCTATTATTGCACCGCCTGGTTATTATATGATGTTTGTGGTGAATCAAAACATACCTAGCGAAGGTGTTTGGGTAAGGTTACAATGATCCATGTATTTTTTATATATATTTTCTGGCTGTATGTACGTGTGTATGCTATATATATTGATTGGTTGAATTGTTTATTTAAGGAAGAACCTATTTTAATTGTACATGGATGTAATAAAATGTGTGTTCTCGATTTAATGATAATAATATAGCTGGATACTCTTTTTTTGTGTCGGTTGTTCATATATTGACATTGACATATAAATTAAAATTGCTTGATTGAAATTTAATTCAGCTAATTAACAAACTAAGTACTACATTTGATGAGAAAAGATCTGGCACAGCATGATTAAATGTTAGCTAAGACGATTTTATTATCAACTGGTTTGTAATGAATACGTTTTGTTGGAAACAAGATTTTGTAAAAGTCTACAAGAATTGGCTGATGTTTTTTATATAGCATTGTAGCCTGTAGGTGCTTATTACTTTATTGCTTACCATTTTGGTAAATGGTTATATACGAAATTGTTGTAAAGGTGACAAAATGAATAAATTTAGCTAACATAAAATATAGTTTCCTTCATTTTAATTATTCATTTTTGTCAATAATATAGTCTCTTGCCCTTATATGTTTTATGTTTATAAATTATGAAGTGGTGTTCAAAATTCAAAATAATTGCATATTGTGTACGTAATTCAAGAAATAAATTATTTATGGATCAAATATAACATGAGTTGAGATTGAAATAATCAGGAAAACGGTATGAAACAGATTCACGAAATGAAACACTTGATTACATAGTTAAGCATTCACGGAACAGATAGTTTTACTAACAAGAGGCAAAAGAGAAGACCTAAACGATTCAACCAGAGAAAGAAAAGAAAACACACAAACGGGTTCAATCAGAGTACGAATCGCACACACTATATACATGATTCTATCTCCTCCCCCATAAAAGTACAAACGAAAACAACACAAACGATATTTAAAATACAAATCCCATAGAATCATCAAGAACGCTTCAAGCACGTTCGCCACGAATGCGTCTAGCCAATTGAATGTCTTTGGGCATGATGGTAACCCTTTTGGCATGAATTGCACATAGATTCGTGTCCTCGAACAAACCCACCAAGTATGCTTCTGCTGCCTCTTGGAGTGCGAGTATGGCATGGCTTTGGAACCTCAGATCCACCTATGTAGGTAAATTCAAATCAGATTGTATATAAGTCTTTCTCTAAACGAATCCCAACAATAAATAACGAATGGTAAAAGAAGTTGGATCGGAATAACAAGTTACATACCTTATAGTCTTGGGATATTTCACGAACAAGACGCTGGAAAGGTAGTTTGCGGATCAGCAAGTCAGTACTCTTCTGATACTTACGTATCTCACTGTCCACCACCACCCACGAAAACGTAACAACCATTTTCAACATGTGAAAAACGATTTAAACCGAACCAGAAGAAAAGTAGAAAAACAGAAACTCACCGAAGAGCGACGGTTCCGGGACGGAAACGGTGAGCCTTCTTGACACCACCGTTGTACGGTCTTCTTGTCTTCTTCGCCGCCTGAGATATAAAACAGAATCGTAAAACCTCAGAAATCGGGTTCTCAAAACGTACTTTGTCAGTTTAACATAATCGAAGAAAAGACGACAGAAGAACCTTGGTAGCGAGTTCCTTCCTTGGACCTTTGCCACCAGTAGATTTCCTAGCAGTTTGCTTCGTACGTGCCATTTCTTCAAATCTTCAAAGCGAGAACGAGATCGATCGAGAGAAACAAAGAGACTTCCAAAGGATGATGATGATGATAACCGTCAGTAACTTCCGACAGTTTTTTTTTAATGATTGCGAGAGTTATAATGAAAGTACGTACGATGCATGTATGAAGAAGATTTCACTTATATAGAGCCATGTTTAAAGCGGTTTTTGTTTTTTTCCATTTTTATTTTAAAAAGACGGTTATTTTGGAGAAATTGGCCAATGATCAATGGAGCGAACCGGTTTTGGAATGCACACGAGGAAAACCAAGGCTGACGTGGCGGTGATCTTCGTCTTCAAATCTTATTGGCTGATGACGTTTAGTCGTTACTTTATGGGTATTTTTCTCAGATTGGGCCTAAAATATCCAAAGGCCTTGTCCATTTTTCAAGTGGGTTTTGGTAAAATAATAATTTCATAAAAAGGCCTTAAAATAATAATCTTTTTTTTTGCCTTAATTACAAAATAAAAAGTCAATTCTTTTTTTTTTGTTGGTGGAAAAAAAAAGAGTCAATTAGTAGTGGTGTATAAGTTTGTCTATTGATTTCCATATTTGTCTTTCTCAGTTTGAATAAAATATTTTTCTATTTCAATCTGTTTTTTGTTTCTTTTGCAATTTTCTTTTTTGAATAGCGTACTGTATGATGAGAAAAAGAAATAGCATACTGTATATACGTATATAAATTTCCCTCTTTCACTGAGATATAATAAAATAAAAACGAGCTACCAAATCATTGCACTTCTCAACACCTTAGAGAAAATAAACAAAGTAGGGAGAGAGAAATATCTTTTAATTCCTATTTTTAGGAAAACAAAACTTTGTAATTTAATAGCAACAAGAATTAAAAAAAACACATTAAGCTAAAGAATTTCCCACGAGTGAACAAAACAAAAAGATATAAGTGACAAACAAAAAAGTAAGAAGAGACAAACGTTACACAAAAGCAAAGCCAAATGAACAAAGAGGAAGAAAAGCAAAATATTAACGAATTGAATAATCATGATTTTATAATAGTAGTAATGTATATTCTTGGTAATATAGAAATTCCCAAATCTCTTCAATTTAATCACATCTCTTTTTATATATATTTTTGTCACCTCACTTTATCTCTCTCTCTCTTTATTTTTTTTTGCTTCTTTCGTAGTTCGCTGCTGTACTTTATATTTTGTTTTGTGTTTAGGGTTTCTGAATTTGGTTTCCATTTTTTTCTTCTTCAATCCTTGTCACCGTCGCTTCCGATCTGCTCAGCATCACTCACTAGTCGTTGTTTTCCCGCCAACTTTTGAGCTTCTACCGATTCGCCGCGTACCCACTTTGGATCTGCTTTTCGAATTTTGAAATTTTTGGAACCTTTTTTTTCCGGGTCGGACGAGTTATGGCAGATGCGATGAATTCGTCGGAGAAGAAGGATGAGAGCTCGGAGGAGAAGGGAGGTGAGCTTTTGTTTTGTGGCGCTACGGCTTGGGATATCGTTGGGAAACGCAAAGGTGGGATGGAAGGTAACTTGGTCTCTCCTACTCGGTTAAGGCCACTCGTCGGCGTTAACATTCGATTCGTCGCCACTGGTTGCGGTAACTTCCGTTTCTCTTTTTGCTTCTTGAGAGTTTTTTTTTTTTTTGGTTTGTTATCTGATCTGCGATAATGGAGAACTCGATTCCCTTATTTAACTGTTTATCTTGTGTAAATGTCTTTTGTAGCTTCGTTTCATTGTGTGGCATTGGACGTTGAAGGTCGTTGCTACACCTGGGGACGCAATGAGGTATGCTCTGATCCAGCTCCGTTTCTTTTTTTTCTTTTTTTGCATTGGGTTAGTTTGAATAAGCTTCTCTATTTTGATCTATTTGTTCAGAAAGGACAGTTAGGTCATGGAGATATGATCCAACGTGACAGGCCAACGGTTGTATCAGGACTCTCAAAGTGAGTTTCTGTTTCCTTGCTGGATTGATTCTAACTCTTTGTTTGAAATCGTAACTAGTGGCTGAAGCTTTGAATTGATTGTAGTTAAGCATTGAGCTTTTTGTTTTGTTCTGTTTGTATTGAAGGCACAAAATTGTGAAAGCGGCAGCAGGGAGGAACCACACGGTAGTGGTTAGTGATGATGGCCAGTCCCGTGCTTTTGGATGGAATAAGCATGGGCAGTTGGGTTTGGGTTCTGCCAAAAACGGTATGGAAAACTGTACCTGTATCTGCTTCTTGTGAAATGGTCTGAAATTTGGATCGTTCTAATGGTATGAAATTTGTATTTTACAGGCTTTGTTTCTGTAGAAGTTGAATCATCGCCTCTTCCATGTATTGTGTCTGATGAGGTCACAAACGTTGCCTGTGGGGCTGATTTTACAGTGTGGTTATCATCTACTGAAGGAGCCTCTATACTGTATGGTTTCTTTGTCTGGTCTAGTCTGTTATTCCGGTTTTCTTTTGCCTTTACAGGTCTCCATTTAGTCAAACGTCTTGCTCAATTTCAGAGTGTTTGTGTGTTTATAGGACCGCCGGTCTCCCACAATATGGTCAACTTGGCCATGGAACTGATAATGAGGTAACTTAGTTATCTGCGTACTTTAGATGTGCATCCAATACAAGTTTCAACTCTGTCTCTTACTTGTAGCTTATTTTCATGACTTGAGGTGTTTTGAGTGATTTTCTTTTTGGTTATTTGAAACTTCTAAACAAGTATTTTGAGATCTTGTTTCTTGAAAGGTTATCAATTTTTTTGCTACGAATTGATGAATAGATTAGGTAAAATGTCTCCCATCTCCATCATTTACTTTAAACCCGGTTACATTGTTTGTATTCCATTTCAGTTCAATATGAAGGATAGTTCAGTTAGACTCGCCTACGAAGCTCAGCCACGTCCTAAAGCCATCGCTTCTCTTGCAGGGGAATCCATTGTCAAAGTTGCATGTGGAACAAATCATACTGGTAGAAACCATATTTCTGTTACTCTTCTCTGTCCTCAATCTTTGCCTTCCAAGGAAGCTAAATACTCACTCTGATAATTTTTTTCTTTCTTAATCAGTGGCCGTAGATAAGAATGGGTTTGTTTACACGTAAGTAACATATCTGTTCAGAATTTTGGTTACTTTGAAAATCCAATTTCAATATATCTGACCATCAATTATTTATCTATCAAAACAAATGACAGGTGGGGATTTGGTGGATATGGAAGGTTGGTACCTGGCTCACATTAAAGCTTTTTAGATAGAAGTTAATTTCCTTCCTCTTCCTCATGAGAAGTTTGGTTGCCAATTTCAGGCTTGGACATAGGGAGCAGAAAGATGAGTGGGCTCCACGCCGTATTGATGTCTTTCAGAGGAATAATGTTTTGCCTCCTAATGCGATTGTATCTGCTGGTTCTGCAAACTCCGCGTGCACCGCTGGCAAGTGACTCTAATGAACTGTCTTTTTACCTTGTGTTAGTTTTCTGGTCCTATATTAAAAGTTCAATTTAACTTGTTTTGGATTTCAGGTGGAGGACAGTTATATATGTGGGGAAAGATAAAGAACAATGGTGATGATTGGATGTACCCTAAACCGATGATGGATTTAAGGTTTGTCTAAGTCAGATTCCACCAATTGATATATTACTTTACGATGATTAATGTAGCTTTATTCTTTTTTGTTTTTCACAGTGGCTGGAACTTGCGTTGGATGGATTCAGGAAGCATGCATCATTTTGTTGGTGCTGATAGTTCTTGCATAAGTTGGGGTCATGCTCAGTATGGAGAACTTGGTTACGGCCCCAACGGTCAAAAGTATGCCATACCATAACCCACGTTTTGTTTTAAAAACCACATACGATATCATTATAAACCTTGCTTCCGTCTTGTTTCAGATCATCTGCAGCACCAAAAAAGGTGGATATGCTCGAGGGAATGCATGTAATGGGGTGAGTTCTCAAATGTTTGCCTCGGAGAATATTGGAAGTTTTCCTAAATTCCTTGTGGATGTTTTCCTGTAGTGTGGCATGCGGTTTTTGCCATTCAATGGTCATAGTAGACAGAACAAATATCGCTGATCGGCTTGAGCAGGTAACAAAAGCAAGAGAACCAGTTCTTTTTAACTTGAGCCCTCAGTAGAAAGCTCAAGATGATAGTATTCTTCAAGGGTTGGTATTTCCTCATCGGTTTCCTTACACTATCTATTATGTCTGCAGCTCGAGATCTATGACGGCAAAGGATCATTAGAAGGTATTATCACATTTTTTTTTTTTGATCACGTACAGAATTTAAACATTTCTTGTTGTATTTGATTGTTGCGAGCAGAGAGTGTAGAAGAAGTCAAGGAAGAAACTCTGGTACCGAAGCAACAAGCTCCCAACAGAGGTGCTGCTTCCAAAAAGAGGAAAGCATCGAAAGCTTCTTCTGATTCTGAAGACAGTGATGAAGATAACAGCGACAAGGAGAAGGAACCTCAAGGTAGTGATGCGGACAGCGACTACAGTGAAGATGGAGAAGAGGCCAATGGCAAGAAACAGAGCGCTCGTGGCAGAGGACGTGGCCGTGGAGGACGTGGGCGCGGCGGCCGTGCCAGTAATGGAAAGGCTCCGCCGGCGAAGACAGGTGGGAGAAGAGGAAGGCCACGTAAGTCTTAAAACAACTCTGACTCAAAACTTCGATGTGGTTTCTGTTTAACAGTTTTTTGTTTCTTTCTTCACACAATGAGAGGGCTCAAAATGACTTTTTATATATTTTTTTACATTGAACATTTGTTGAAGTATAATTCCCTGGGGAATTCTTATCGGCCTCTGTATTTTAATGTAAACCACATCGAATGATTTATTTCTAGAGATAACATTTTCGACATTCAGAATTCAGATTCACTCAGAAAAAGAAAGAAACTGGTACGGATTTGTCCTTTACTTATTTGTAATGGCATGACATGAAGCATTGCTTTTTGTATATTCCTAAAAATAATCATAAATCAGCTCCTATAAATTTGTTAATAACTGAAGATATTTGATAATCGAAAACACAGTTTTGAAAATTTTGTTGTAAAAATGGCGCTCTGTCGGTGAGTGCGACAAAACCAGTAAATGAGTGTGCACGATCGAGAGATATTTGACTTAAGACGGAAGCAACTTAGTGATGCTTCTTCTGCTTTTAAATATTTTAATATAATCGCACTTTTAGTTAGGAGGTTTGGTCTTAAGGTTAATCATACTATTGGTTAAGGTCGTGAAAGGTTCGTTTCATCTTCACACGCAAGCCCCGCCGAGAGTATTATCGCTCAAAACTTTCTAACACTTTCCATGAATGAACTAACCAACCACCTTTGGCTTTTTAGTTGCCGACTACGGTTTCCTATGTTAACGTCTTCGTCTGCATTTAGTATTTTGCATTAACATATTTGCATTAAACTATTAAAAGTGGTAGGTATAAAAAGCAAAACAACTGAGTCAAAAAATTTGTTTACGAAGCCTCAAATGCATTTTATTCTGTTTTAATGTTCATTAGTCTTACTAAATACTTGTATACACGAAAATGAAAAAGAAAAAACCTAAGAAAAAGATCAGGAAGTGCAGGCTATACATGACTCTGTCACAAACGTTAGAATAACTATTCACACACCATCACTTTCACAAGAGAGACCCACAGCTTTGCTTTGTTCATATACCTTTTTTGTCGTAAAGCTACAAAACAAAATAAAAACATATGCCGCTTAGCTGGCATCACTGTGGATATGACACGTGGCAAAAATGTACGAGAGGGGCATGTCAATGTTACAATGAGTAGTGGTTAGGACTTTGATCAGTTTGGTAACAGAGGGAAACTGTAACGCCCGTCTCCGAAGAATCCTAGCCGGTACTGGACGTGCCAATGATCGAGGCAACATAAGTTTATCGAAGATTTGATCAATTTGTCGAAGATTTATCGGTACGATCGAAGTTTATTGAGAAAGATCGGTGTATGCTGTCGGAAATCCGAATGATCGAAGGAAAAGTTGAGTGTTCGGACAATAAAAGATTTTCGGACAAGTTTGTCGGAAGAGTATCGACCATTGCGTGTTTATCGGACCGGTTGTCGGAACTCTATCGAGTGGCTGTCGGTGATGCGAAGATCCGCTCGATATTTTGTCGATCCGATTCGGTAACCCGCCTGTGTTGGTAAGCCGAGATTCGTGGGATTGGATATTCTCGATGGTTGTTCGGAGAATCGGATAAAATCTAGAAGAAGATCGGAATAATGGATATTCCATCGAATATTCTCGACGGATCGGGAATTTTCTCGAGCCTATATAAAGACCTGCCGACCATTTGTTAGCGTTTTCACGCGTAAGAACCCTAAAGGCGATCGACAACCTTTTCATCGAGAAAGTTAGGTGTTTGTCGAGAATCCGTGAGAAAGATCGAGAGTAGATCGAGTAATTCTCGAGAATCTTGGTAAGTATCGTGTAAACTTGGTGTTTATCGATTGTTCTTCGAGTATTGTCGGTAAAAGAGTTAGATCTGTGCTCATGCTGTAGATCCGGGTGCTTTGCGAGAGTTTATTGGATCCGATCGGACGAGTAAGCGACAAGAGGTGTCAGAAAGTGAATCCGTGTGAGAAAGGTGAGAGCGTGACCGTGGCCGAGTCTTGGGTCGTTTTTATTGATTGATTCATTGATGTTTTCTTGCTTGTCATGGTTTATGTGTTATCGCGATAATGTCTTGATAGTTATTCGATGGTGGTTCCGATAATTATCTCGACGGTATGTTATGTTTATGGCTTGCTTGTTTAACTCCTTGAATCGATCGAAATGAATGTGATTTCTTGACTGTGCCAAGTGTGACGGGACGACCGCTCCACTAAGCAAATTCGTTTGCTTACGCCTCCTTTTGGATGCAGGAAATGGAAGTAATTCTTGTGGCTGAACCAGCTCGTGAGACGAAGGCAAGGAAAGGGAAGGATGGTGGATTGGGGTAGTTTTAATAATTCGGTCTAGTGTTGAAAACGATGTAATAGCTTATTAGCGAACTTGCCGTTTGTACTAGAACCTCGTTTGGAATTCAAGTAATCTGTTTCGCATTATTGACTTGTCTATCGATCTTATGCGGTTATGTTAAGTTTTGTCGAAAGTACCTTTGAACTTGAATGAAAAATTTTGAAAATTCGGGTTAGAGTCTTTCAAGTTGGTATCAGAGCATGGTCGATTCTAGGACAGTCTTAGTGTAAACGGGTTAGTATGTAAATCCATCCTTCCGAAGCCTGATGTCTCACGGTAAGACTGGTTATTTTTCTGTAATTAGAAACTAAGTTAGTAATAGACTAACTTAGTATCGAATCCGGTATTTGCAGATGGTTCGATCTGTTAGGAATGTGGGAAATGTTTCAGCAAGGAACGCTGCTCGTGAAGGAAATGAACAGCCGGCTAATCAAAACGCTGGAAACGTGAATGCGCCTATCGGTGGGGGAATTGGAGTAGCTGCTGCTGCCGTCGCGGGTGCTGTTCCTCCCGAAATGGGGCAAGTGTTGGGCGTGTTGGCGCAAATCTTGGAAAGATTAGCTCCACAGCCGGCGGAGAATCCACCAGTTGGGAACGCACCACCAGTGGGTCAGGAGAATAATCCATCGTACTTGACTGTGATGGATCACATGATGAAGTTGGGGACGAGTTACTTCTCCGGTGGTGCTGACCCTATCAAGGCGGTTGAATGGAGGACTCGGTTGGAGAGAAACTTCAACTCTGTTCGATGTCCGATTGCGTATCGGAAGGACATTGCTACACACTACCTTGCTGAGGAGGCGGATACTTGGT